ATGAAATTGCTATTCATAACACTTGTGAGCTGTCTATGAAACTGAGTTTTAAATATTCTTCTTCCTGAGTTAATTATTTTAAGTATTAAATTTGTTCTATTATTTTTAAGATAATTTCTTCATAGAATACAAAAGATCACCTATTATCACACAGCAAATGAGTCTGTTCTGGAACAGAATCTAAACTGGAAAAAAGTAAACATTTTAAAGATACACAAACATATTCAAAGCAATTATCACTGCATATGTGATTCAAACAAAAGCACTCAACAAATGCTTACATTAAATAATTCTCTTTAATATGACAAAGTAAAATTGTTTTTAAAAATTCTTTGACATAGTACTTCTTGCGCAGAAAGGCTCAATATTTTATAACGATATTATGGACTTTTACTATTTATCAACATTTAGCCGTAAAGTCAGCTATGAGATATATCTGATCTAGGCAAATATCATTGAAAACTAAATATTTTATGCATTACTTATTATAAAAAAATATCTCTGAAGTAGGATTCAGAGAGGAAAATTTTTTGAGAAAATGTAAGATTTGATTTTTAAAATATTTTTTATTTCAAAAAGCAAAGCAGAAAAAAGCATAGAAATGATTCAGAATTACAAAAAAATATTAGGGAATTAACACTAGTTAACATATTGTATATTGTTATCTTGAAGTAGTTGTTCAGGTTACAAGATCTAGGCGTAAAAAACAAAAAATCAAAACAGTGCCAGCACAAACTGTTCTTTTTGACAAACTAACAGAAATTAGTGGTATGGTTATCTATCTTGTATACATATACAAATATAAGTATATACATTTATATATGTAGACCTACATATATAATCTTTCTTTCTTTTCTCTTGAGGCTTTTATAGGTAAATGCAGGCAAGTTGAGACCACACTCATAAGTGAAATAAATCAAACTCACATTAATAAATATTAAAAAAATAGTAAAAAACTGAAAACGTAATAAGATCCAAAATGTACAATAGATATTTTAATAATGAAAGGGAAAAAAATGTTCAGAGAGGAAATTTTTCAATGACTGTTAAGGAAATAGATGGGAATGTATTTGGAGATATTATAACTACTGCAGAATTTTTAAAAATCTACTGTCTGCCTTCATTCTCTATCATACTGTCTTTGGCAAAATTGGTGACAAAAATATACATGTATCTTTGGCTTGTGACAGATAAAGCCTAGCTATTAAAAACATTAGCCAATGGTAATATGTCAGGTATTAATCCAAACAGTTCACAAATGATGAGCTCAAGGATGTGTAAGTCTATAAATAAGGTTTTCCATGTTCTCCAGTGTAGATTTTGAATAGACTGGATTTCCTTTCGTGTTTCATGCTTACAGAACATAATTCCTATGTGCAGTTTTTAAAGGTTCACTGTGAGTCCTCTGTTTTTTTTTTATCATTTAGTATTATAAATAATTATGTTCCTAGGCAGCAATTCAAAGCTCAGTACAGCACTCATACAATGCCACTGGCAGGTCAGCTGACCTTTCTCCAATGCTGCTCACTCTGGTGCTGAGGACAGACAAAGTGATATGTCTGTCATACGCCATTACCATTAGAACAGAATCTTGTTCTTTTATTACAACTGAACTCCGCCAGATTTCTCAGCAGGAATGCTAAGTGAAATCAATGTCTTGGATTTCCAGGCTGAGCTTGGAGGTCACAGCCACTCTATCATTTCTCAGCATTATCCTTTCTCTAGCGCACACACACTCCCCAAGCCTCCAACTGGCACACAGCAGATTGAAAACAGCATGCATCAGAGGACTCATGCTGTACAATTTTACAGTCTTTTGGAGCCCCTCCTTTTCATTCCCCCCTTCCATGTTTTGCAAATTGCAAATAACTTTTGTTTCTGTCCTTATCAGGGTTGTGAGTCAAAGGCAAAGGCACATCTAGCAAAAAGGGCAGGAAATAAAATTGAGTGCACGGCTGATATTTGACAATTGACAATAAGATCATTATCTTGACATTATCACCTGAATATGACCTACAGTTCTATTGCTCTAAACAGCAAATGTACTTTTAACTTAACCATCAATTTGCCTTATTCTAGGTATGTGTACAGAAACACAAAGCCCTCAGACAAAATAATTCTATTTCATAGTAAGATAGACATGAAAACTTGCTCATAAAACACTCAGAAAATTCCCCCAACACTAATAATTGATTATTTAAAAACATAAATATGACAAAAATGCTAGCTAGTATATATGAAGAAAACAGCTCTGTGAAGTAAGAATGTTTATTATGCTATGTATAACTGTCAATTTCAGAGTTCAAGGAACTAAATTCAAGTATTATAATTGGTCCTTTTTATTTACTGTTGATTGTATTTTTTGGAGGGCAGGTTCTTCATTAAATGTCAGTGTTGATACTTATCGGTATGGCTATTTTTAACTCACTGCATTTTACTGCTGAGTTATATTAACACAAGCAGGTTTAAGACATCTGAGTTGGTTTCAGACAGCATGCTAGAGGATACTAAGCAAAGACCAGACGTAGTTTCATAACCATTGTTTAAAGAAAGAACATTAATTCTTGACTAAAACTTTATGTATATTTCCATAGTGGATAATGGGCAAAAGGCAATTTATTTTTTCTTAAAACTGTATTCTTATATGATAGAAAATTCATAAAAGTTGATTTTTGAAAATTGACTATATTTTTAAATTATGTATAATCATAGCAATAGAAACATAATCTACTTTTTTTTACTAGTATTAAATAAGTACAGGTATATAAAACCGTAAGATGTGGCATAATTTTAACGTTCTCCACAGTCTTTAGGAACATATACATGTTGCAAAGAAATTTCCTAATCAAGTCAAAGAAAACCTTCAGTCACTTTTGCACTTTCCATGGTTACTTAAAAAACTATTATGGCAACTGTTCAGTAAACATTTGAGTAGACGGATGGATGAGAATAAATGAATAGATGAATGAATAAATGAATAGAACATAAATGGATAAGGCTACCTAGCATCAAAAGTAGGGTGACTATTAATAGAAGTACTTTGGTGTGAAAATATTAATGATAAAACATTATTCCAGTTCTAAGAAAAAAATACATTGATCACTCAAAATTTAATTACTTATTATCAAATCCTAAAACAAAATTAAACAATGCAAAGCATTACTGTGAAACATGATGTGAAATTACACTAATAAATCAAGGGAAAATCATAGAATACCTCACAGAGGTATCTGTATGTGACAAGAACTATGTAGCTACAGTTATTTATTTTACTCAAAGTTAGCCTGTGCATGTAATACATTAAAACTGTTGGTGCATGGAGGCACCAAAATATCACTGCTTTAAAATTAAATTGTATTCTATAAATGTTATAATTATTACCGAATTTTAAAACCTTGCATGCTGCTGTGATTATATACAAAAGCAGAAAGGCCTTAGACATACATTAAGCAAACATGTAAGGCCCATTAAACAGCTGAAATAGATTCTAAAAGTGGCACAGTATATTTCCTAATGTCTTTTTAGTGTGCACAGTATTTGCCCCTGTGTACTGGCATGTACTGTTGGTGAATCAAGCCTCAGTCTTTGTCCAGCTTGAGCTATATTCCGAGATGCATTTCTCCCCTAATAACATGTAAAAGGACTTGGGAGTCCCAGGAAGATGAAGGCTGGAATGTCCTTTCTTAGCTGAAGGAGCTCTTCTTCTCAATTAAGTTTCTAGAGTAGAACAAGAACTGTGAAACACACCATGGTGGGGCTGCCAGGGTATGGGAGAAGATGTTTTCTAAATTACTTTTTTGAGGCCAGGGACATATGTGCCTCAGGAGAGCAGTGCCTACCTGGCAAGCACTAGATCCAGAGATCAACTCCTAGTACCAAATAAATACATAAATAAATAAATAAATAAATAAATATAAAATCACTTTTTCTTTTCCAACATTTTCTAATCCTCTTTTCTCTGGGTTTCTTGAGACTACTGTGATTATCTTTGCCTTTTTACTCTTGGGACACTTCTCCAAGGCATCCATAGAATGGAGAACAGAAGCAATTTTCCAAATAGTGCAGAGAAATATATTTTAAGAGTAAATTAATTGCCAGTTTTTTGCTTAGAATGTCCCAAGTTAAACAAAACTTTGAGCTATTTTCCTGAATAATCTCAGGGAATACTATTGTAGGGTAACATTCCTCACTTTGTGTACAAGACATATAATACAATATTATATACGTAAGACCTTAACAAATGCAAAGTACAAATAGAAAAACATTTCGGAGAAATTTTTTCTATTTGTGTCTCCTTTTAAACAAGCATACAGTATGTGAGTTTCCTCAATACTTTCATATGTGTTCTCAAGACATGTTTCGTTAGCTCTAAAACCAAAACTGTTTTTAAATAGTCTTATATCTAATACTATTATTATCTTCATTTCTTTTTACAAAATAATATCAGTAGATGGGTGATATATCTAAAATTATACCTATACCATATCACATTATAACAGTTATTGAGATTAAAAAAAAGCACTCCATATGTCCTAATCCTACTCATACTTTAAGATCTATTTCAGTGGCTCCATCTTTGGCAAACACTTTCACTTCTAACCGAAGCTAATCTCTTCCTCCTAATAACTTCCAATGTACGCATCTATGCACTTCTTTGTAAAATTTATTATCTTGCATTACAGAGTATGATTATGTGGGTATTTTATAAATACCTACTTTTAAGATGGTAAGCTTCCTGAGTGTAGTATAATCACCTGAAAAATCACTGTGTCACTCAAGAGTTTTTATTATAGTAATGAATATATGTTTTTGAATAAATTAAATATTGGATATATATATGGAAATTTACACATATATTTATTGTTCCCACTAGACTCCTATCTCTCCATACAGTCAGCGTTTAGCCTAATTACAGGCATATAAAAGACCTTCAGTAAATACTATTAAATGAAAAGGAAAATCCTTAAGTGGCAAGACAGAGAGCTTCTTGAGGAATGTACCTTGCTTTTGGGTGGCGGGCTGTTTGTGCTCTTGTCTGTGTGAATGCTGGTAGGAGATACAGCAGCACCAAGGTTGCCTTGGGGTATGCCTGGCAGCTTCCCTCCTGGAGATACCTGCATTGCAGCTAGCTGGGCAGCATATAACTGCTACAGAAGAAAAGGAGACAGAAGAAAATACTATCAATAACAAAATAAATATGTCTTTCAGAAAGTACCCATAATCAGATGTAGTAAATCCTATGGGCATCTTCGGTTATGCCCGGGGATATTTAAAGAAGCTGTCACCTCAACTTAATGACTTACTTCTCGGGGGGCATGACAGATATCACATGTAGGGCTCTCAGTATCATGCTGTCCAGGGACTCAAAGCAAACAGCAATCATCCATATTTACTCTCTTGCAAGATCTATGGAAAACATTCATATTGTATTGTTTGGTCAAGGGCTCCTTTTCCTCTACGTTAAATTTACACAGCTGGTTAAAAAGGAAGGCAGCTTTGTAAACACAGTAATTTTCTTACTACTCTTACTGGTTCAATTCCTGTATCCTTTTGTTGTTTCATTTATTGAAATAGGTACCTGTAACATTTTTTTCTGAGAAACAGCTGTACAGAAATACAGAATAGGCATTGTGAAAGACCAGAGGAGAGTGTTTGAAGTGCATCATCTGGTCAGTCTACCTTTACATTGATAAATATTAACTGGATACTTGTCAGAAGTTCACTTTATTACATAATATAAACAGACAAAACTCAAATTGTCTTGAGGATTAGGGTTTTAAGTAAGACCACCCAAAATACACACTCTTCCACTAAGTTATCAATTAATAGTTCTCACTAAAAAACAAAGAAAATTATCTTTAACAAAGTATTAATAAGCCGAAAGGAAAACTTTACTTTTAGCGCGACAGCTCCATGATATAGCAGTCCAAAACAAGAAGTATTGCTTCTTGTAATACACAGTGCATCACACGTTAAGATTAGTAATCTTTTCATCTTAGTTTAGCACTACGTAAAAATTTTAATGGCCTGGATGAGAATGTAACTATTAAATTATATAATGTGTGTCTGGGTATAACATATCTCAATTTCCTGCTTTCAGTTTGTCTTGAGATTCCATAGATAGGTTTTACTACACAAGATAGAAACTTCTCTCCATGAAATAGTTCTTTGGAATATCTTGATTTTTTCTGAAAGAAAAATTACAAAGGATAACATTGCTCAAGATAACCCATATAGCCGAATAAGTGGGGTTTCATTACAAATGAAACACAAAAACTGAAAACAGAAAAATACATAATATATATTATTCATGATTTTCAGATCCTATAACCTAAATGAAATCAGGAAATTACAATTTTTGATAAAATTATTGTTTATTTTTATGCAAAGCCAAAGTAAGATATACTCCAGAGAAATACTAAATAGTATACATCAATGAAGAATTTTTTGATTATCAACAATGATTGTCTGTAAAAGGATTTTTAGAATAATTACATACATCACTTTTTATCATACTTTATTAGGGAGAAGAAAAGATTTAATTCCTACTTCTTAAATTACATAAAGAGTGAAAGAATAATTAATTTTAAATATGAAGTTTTTGGACTTTAATAGTTTTTAAGTTATTAGAATTGAGGTATATTTCCACATCAATGTTAAAAAGGTATGCATCATATTCTTTAATTACAAAAAGTTTTATTCTGTCATTATTCTGAGCTGTTTCTGAAGACACTTAGAACATATCCAAATATCCCAGTGATATCATTTTGAAAATTAAAAATGTGTTCAGCAGACTATATGTGCTCATACTGAATTATACAATGTAACTATTTTAACAGACTAGTCAATAAGAGTATGTTTTATAAATTATATTTTATACTAAATTTATATTTTTCTTTATAATATTGTATTATATACTCCATCTTTGTCTTTGAAAATGATCCTTGGGTATTGTTTCGAGGGGGTAACAATATGTAGATAATTTTAATCTTGACTAACCAAAATTACTAAATTTACTACAAAACATGGGATAAATATCTGTAGGTGAGAATAAAAATGTGAACAAAACAGTTACACAAAATTTAAGCTTGAGTCCTTAAAATTTCATAATACCGAGAAACTGTTTTGTTATTTAGATAGTTTGACCAGTTTTCCATAAATGATTCAATAACTAAATATCAACCACTATAGACAGATTCACAACTTTCAAAAGCATATGAATCACCACTAAAATTATAAAATAATACTTGGAATCATAGTATTAAATTTAAAAGTTCGAGATAATAGAAACTTTGAGTAAAAAAACCATATATTTTCTGCCATTACTCAAATAAATGCACAATTTTTACCCTTTCACATATTAAGTTAAGGTTCAGCTGAGTTAAACTGTCCTAAAATGTGACTTTGAGTTGAAATGGAAAAAGTTGCCCAAGGTCACAAAATTTAGCGCTGGGATGTATAATTTAGGTATGCTTCTGTACATGTCTCTGGCAAATTACAATTCCTCAAGAATAAGAAATAATGGTTCTTGAAAGAGCTAAAAATATTGAAGAAACAGAAATGTAGATCATGGAACAACCTAAGAAAACATGAGAGCTGCTTATAGGTATATATATATAAAGATATAAAATTCTTATCAGTACATGAGCATCAGAAAGACATCAGATATTTAATAGATTCTAATCTAATCATTGGTGATTGTTTCTTTAAAATAATAAAATCATCTGAGGACAGTAGTAAGGAGGACAAATACAATGTGAAAAAACTGCAGATAAAGAAGAGTAAAAATTTATCATTTTGAATGATATAAATTTAGGCCAGAAAATATAATGCTCTGTAGAAGTTTAGTGCTCACAACAAATTCCTAACATTAGTTTCAAGGTCAGAGTCCAGTTATTCTGTAAGGCTGTCATAACTCTGAGTCTGGGTAAGCCAACAAAGTGAGTGTCCTCTGTTAGCATCAGTCTTTAAGCTTCAGCATCTCAATTTTTCTCTGGTGTTTAAAACAAGTCAACTATTTTTGTAAGAGTACATTATCATAATAAACCTTATATTTAACTGATTTTTACATTCTATGTTTGAAAGAAAGATGGTAGCTAGATCTTCATATAGGGAAGGAAAAAGTCATACTATCTTTATTTGCAAACGATACAAATTTTACATATAAAATCCCAAAAAGACTCCCGCAAAAGACTCAGAACTAATACACAAATTCAGCAAACTAGTCAGATACAAAATGATGCACAAAACTCAGTAGCACTCCTGCACACCAATAATGAGCCCAAAAAGAAGAAAATCAGGAAAACAATCCCATTCAGGGTAGCTAGAAACAAAGGAAAATCAAATTATCTAGGAAGCTCACCAAGAATGTGAAAGACCTCTAAATTAAAAATATAGTATGCTGAAAAGAGAGAATGAAGAAGATGTTAGGAATAAATAGAAAGAACCAATACTATCAAAATGGTCATATTACCAAAAATGATGCAAATACAGATTTTATGAAGTCTCAATCAAAATACCAATAGCATTCCTTATAAAACTAGAGAAAATGATCCTAAAAACCATACAGAAATAAAAGAGATGTTTAAATGGTCAAAGCAACTATGAACAAGAACAAAAGCAAGTGGCATCTCAATCGTACATATTGCAAAATTATATTACAAAGCTGTCTTGATAAAAACAGCATGATTTGGGCACAAACATAGACACAGTGATCAACAGAACAGAACTGATGATGCAGAAGCCACCTCAGACCCCCTTCAGCTATCTTATCTTCAACAAAGTGGCTAAAAATATATGCTGGAAAAAAAGAGCTTTTTTTTTTTTTTTTTTTTTTTTGGTCTTTTTCCTTTTTATCGGTACCGGGAATCAAACTCACGACTGCCTGCTTGCAAGGCAAGTGCTTATGCTGCTGAGCTAAATCCCCAGCCCCCAAAAAGAGCTTCTTTAACAAATAGTTATGGGAAAACTGGTTGTCCTTTGGAAGAAAGATAAATGGAGAGCCATGCATCTCATTGCATACTAAATTCAAGTACACATAAGTCAAAGACCTAGATATGAAAACAGGTATACTGAACCTGCTGAAAGATAAAATGTATAAAACTCTTCAAGACATAAGCACACTTTCTACACAGAACCCCAACTATACAACAACACCAACAAATAGCAACAAAATTTAAAAGCTTCTGCATAACAAAGGAAACAAAGTAAAAAGACAATGTACCAAATGGGAAAATCATTTTGTCAGCTACTGGTTAGACAGAGAGCTAATATCTAGAATACAAAAAGAATTCAAATAAATTAAACTGGCTCCCCCAAAGACCCAGTCATAAAATAGGGAACTGAAATGAACAACTACTTCACATAGAAGAAGTACAAATGGCTAACAGTAATAACAGGAAAAAGTTTTCTGTATTTTTGGCCATTACAGAGACTCAAATTAAAATAACATTGAGATTCTATCTTACGGCAGAATGAATGATTACCCTTCAGAACTCAGCATTCAATACTAGTTAGGTTGCAGGGCTTGGAAGAAGGAAACTTTATACTGGTGGTGGGAATGTAAACTAGTACAACCATTATGGAAATCAGTATAGAAATGTCTCAAAAAAAAAAAAAAACCCTAAAACTAAAAATAGAAATTCCATTTGACCCAGTATACTTCTTCTGGGTGTCTTCCCTAAAGAGTAATAGACCCAACTAATATTACTGTGATACATGTACTTGCATGTTTACAGTGGCACAAGCTGTAATAGCTAAATCACGAAAGGAAAAGTTTGAATCGCATACGAAGGTAGATTCGCCTTGAGACTGTAATGCTAAGGGAAATGCTTTAGACATAGAAGATTCATTATCATATAGTGTGTCTAATGTGAGGAGTTGAAAGTACAAATAATTTAAAGAGCAAAGTAAAAGAGGCACAGGGTGTGGAAGGAGCCACGTGGTGCAGAGCCGGCACAGTGTGACCTGGCTGGAATATGGTCAGGGGCAGGGCAGCATGGCATTATAGACTAACTTGACAAACAGAAGTCCCCAAAACAGACAAGAGAGTTAAACTGAAAATAGAGAAAATAAAGAGCCACTAAAGAAGGCCACATACATTTCTATAACTAAAGATAAAGCAAGAATGTGACCTATGTGGTGATCA